TAAATTGAACCTTTGGCGTCTTACCCCACTCTCCCCTGTCACCCTGCACACCGACAAGCAAAAGATTTACTGATGCTTCATCTGAGTTGTTGTTTCTTCTTCCAGACCATGGAGCCGGTGGACCAGCTCCTGCAGTGTGTGGACCCCGGCAGGGACAGGGAACTGTGGGTGCAAGAGAATAAGACTGGAGACATCAGACCAGTGGACATAGAGATCTGACCTCAGTGCTGACTGAGCAGCTCCCACCCAGACACAGCGACCCAGAGGCTGCATGCCTGAGGACATGACTGGGAGATGAAGTCTGTGCTGCAGGGATCATTGCACACGCACACACACACACACACACACACTCGCACTCACACACATGCACACACACACACACACACTGATCCACACGTGACTCCTAACAGACTGAGGGTTGATCAGTCAGAGCTCACCGGCTCTTTACAGCCACCTGCTGAGGATGAAGTCAGTATCTGGGGGACTCGTGGGGAGAATCCTGAGGGATGAAGGCCGTGGTTAAGTGTTATGCAAACTGATGCTCAACACGGGACAATGGGGACTGTGAGTGTGAAGTCTTTACTAAAGGATACTCAGGTGAGGCGAATGATCAGCAATGAACATTGACCATGTGTAAGTGTTGAATAGCTTTATGTACTGCAGCAGTGTAATGCTAATTCTTAAGAACTGCAATGATTTAACAGATGCTGCTAAGCAAAATGCATTGAGAGCTACGAGTGTTGCTATATTACTGTGTACTGGAATAAATAGAAAGTACTTTAAAACTAATTCTACCATGTGCAGGGGTTCAGTTGTTTGCTAGGCCCTGCACACCTCTGTTCTACGATGACAAATATGCTATTTACAATGAAAACAAAATGCAATTCCCAGTGGTAATGGTTACCATTAAAAAATAGCAGTAGTTAAGAAAATGGTCTTCGGTTTCACTTAGAAATACACAAGAGCAGGCTGCTCATTCCTAACCGATGACTGGCTGACATGTCAAGTGTTAGCAGCAGACTTTCAATTTGCTTTAAAAGGAGAAGCTGGTAAATGGTTCTTAAATATGCACATAATGGAGAGTCACAAGTGGACTGTTCATAAAAGATAGACGTAGCAACTGTGACGTCACCCAGTGCTTTGTGGACTGCTGTCAGGAAGCCTCCAGTCTGGAGTTTTGTCCGTCTTTTAAAAGCGGACATGACTGGTGAGGAGCTGATGGACGAGGATCTAACTGGGAACTGAAGGACACTATGCTCGCAGAAATAGTAGCAACTTGTCAATCACAAGATAGTCCCGCCCTAAAACATCACCCTGCTTTATTATCTATTTTACTCTACATGGGACCATCATTTACTGAATGAACATCACGCTGTATTCAAAAAGTCTTGAAACTGGTGATTGAGAGCATAAACTTACAGAAAGAGGTGTGTTCACAGACAGTGGTGTGTATGGATAAAATACAGAGATACAACCTACTGTGCATGTGAGGAACAGAGTGCAGTAGTAATAACTCATCCGTGGTTTCCACAGTTATCCATGTGCACATCAGAGAGAAAAGAAACACACTGTTTGAATATAAATCACCTTTTAAAGCCCCATGCACACATGCATGCTGGGAAATGCAACACTTGACAGGCCTGCCAGGCCAAAACTACAGCTGCTAAACTGTGACTGTCCCTAACCGACGCTCACAGTGCGGAGTCTGGGTTTAATGAACAGCTGATTTTTTTAAGGCTAATATCATAAATCTGGCAACACTTCTTCACATCTGTGAAAAAAAAAATAATCAAAAGTTAAGAACCCTTTTGGTTCATTTCCACTTGCGTTTCACTTCATTCCTAATATGAATTATAAAATCAGCCAGTTGCACTTTATACCTGAATGATTTCTAATAGATATACTGTAAATTGCTGTTCATATGGGAAAAAAAAGTGCTCTAAAGAGAAGTTGTGACACTTTGATCACGAATGGAAGTGGACATGTTTAGGGGGTCTGATGTAAATATATGAGATGTGTGATTTTGCTATGGAAGGAGGCAGTAGAGTGAAGAATGTAAAATACAGTAAATAGAATCTTACAGAAAGACATATGATTTACTTACATTTGGTACTGATAATATATGAACCATACAAGTGTTTTATATGTAATAGCAACTTCTCTCTTACGATATTCTAGTTTTGGAAATAGAAGTCAGTTGCTTTGGTTGGGTTTGGTGTCCGTGCTGCTGCCTGCAGAAGCTCCATGCTGTACAAACTGCTCTTTTACAACATGTCCTGTCCAGTATTACTGCTTAGTACTACTTGACCACTGAGAGAAGAGTATTGAGACATTTTTTTTGTATATTAACAGCTAAAGTTCAGCATTTTTCATCAATAAAATGGAAAATATGTATCTTATGTCACAACATGCTTGTTCTTCTTTTGACTACCGAAATGGGAATAAGTAGAAAAAAACACCATAAATGAAAAAAGTTCTTTATTTCCTAAAAAACACATTTTCACATTTAACAGTAAATGATTTGGTCGAGCCTCGTTACAGGTTTAGGCGCTGATAATAAAGCTGTGGTTAACAGTTCAGACAGAGATACACGTAGTTTAGGTAAAATACACTGAAATTCTTGACCCACGTAATGATGACATCTTAGTAGCGCTTAATAATGATGAAGTCATTTATAAGCTATTAGTTAATGATGAACTCAGTCATTGAGAAATCATTTATCTTGATGTCGTTATTTGCTTTAAAACCACACGACACATATTCATAATATCATTGCGCTGTATTTGTATTTTAAAACACCTCTCACTCCAGTAGACTGCAATTAAAAAAGCATAAACTTCTCTCAGCATGACGTCTTTAGTTAAAGTCACTGCATCTGATCAGTGTGCTGGAGGTCACTTTGAAAATAACTCCATCATTAAGTAGATATTATATAATAGACTCGTTGTTTTGTGGTAGGCAATGCATTTTCCACAGTTCTGCTTTTTGTCAGGTTGTTTTAGTCAGTTTTCGAATCATTGTAATCATGACTTGATCTTCAGTTAACTGTAGTCTTCAGTTAACGGGATATAGATTTAAAATTTATTTTTTTTGGTAAAGAAATGTTTATTTTTCTATCTTATTTGAATGCGCATGAGATGCAACTGTATTTCCAAGAAGAATGTGTACAATGAACCCTAATAGTTGGTATGTTTCCCCAAAGAAAGGGGAAAAAATTAGCATCCGATTTAATATGACAGTTAAGGTGAATTAGTGTTAGCCAAGTAAGCTAGCACTAGTGTTAGCTGATAGCATAATGCTTGGGCACGATGACTCGGTCCTCAAAACGATGTGACATTTATGTCTTCTGTCCAGCCCATGGTTGATGGTGAGAGATAAGACAGTTATTAACGCATGAGAAGAATAAAAATCTAATTATACAGTGAAATCAAACAAAAGAGAAGTAAACAATAAAGATTAGTGCTTGGTCACTAAATAGTCTGAAAATGTGCTAAATCTTATCGGCATTATGTGTCTTTATTTAACAGTCGTGTGCAAAATCCCACATAAAATGATAAAAACATGATTAGTTCCATTGTAAGAACCAGGACAAACGTGCACAAACAGCTGAGAAAATAAAATTTTTAGGACATTTATGGTTGTATTTTCTAAAAATGTTAAACCTTTTAGCTTTTTTAAGGATCTGCTGACACTGTCATCATTAACTGATCGCCTAATAAATGACTTATAAATGATCACTGTAATAAAGTATCACTTAAATGTGAATTTCAAACACATGCAGAATATTTTTGCAAATTCAATCAGCTTTTTACACACAAATCTAACAGTCTGAAGGGATGTGAAAGGGTATAAGAAAGCTGGAATGTGATCTTACACGCAAAGAGGAAGCAATAAGTACATAGTAGAAAAATTCTATAGGAATGTACAGTGTTCACAAACAGGTGACGCACATCCAATGACCTGAATGTACGGTGAAACTACACGCTGAGCCTCTCTGATGTTTCAAACTTCATGCGCTTCACTTCTTCAGAAGACATCAGAGCTGCCATCGGATGATGCAGATTCGTATTTCTGAAAAGCTGACGTCGCAGCCATCTCCCTAATCAATCATGAGCTTCTTGAGGGAGTTGAGATAGGCCGGGATGAGGGAGCTGACGGACTCGTTGTCATCGTTGAGGATCTTCTCTCCTCTGCCCTCCGAGCCGGCAGAGCTGGGCGAGCGGACCAGGCCGGGGTAGGGGGTGCTGTAACCCTGGAGGAGGTCACACAGGGGTCAGCAAGAACAGGGACAAGCAGGACTTCTGGTATATCTCTTTACACATTCTACCAAAGGAGCTTTTTTTTAAATAAAAAGTTATTTTGAGGAATGATGCTTTAATTTTCAAAATCTAAAAGATTAATGAGAAAATATCTTGTTAATGTTACAAAAATGAATGTCTTGAAAAATGTCACCTTAGAAGGTCTACAACGGGAATGCTGCGATGGCTACAGTCTGTGACACTGATTTTTAGATTTAGGTTTGCTTACAGAAGAGTATCCTTTGCCAAAGCTGCCTCTGTTCTTGGTTCTGATCTTGGTAAGTGCTGACTCAGCGATGTCAGCACGCTCCTCAGCATCATCCAGCTCGTGGACGGTCTTCCTGTACTTGGCCAGGTTCATGTTAGCCTGCTCCTCCTGCAGTGACAACAGCACGTGAGCAATTCTAAACACACAGGAACACTACAGTGCGATACATAATGTGAGTGAAACAAGTCTGGAGTAAGGACGAGGTGACGTACAGCCTCCTCCACTTGTCTCTTGTATGCCTTCATCTTGTTCTGCAGCCTCTCCACCAGCTCCTGCATCCTCTGCTGATTCTTCTGGTCCTCCTCCGACTGGAACAGCAGCTCCTTCAGACGACGCTCGTTTTTCCGCAGCGTCTTCACCGTTTCGGCGTGCCGCTTCTGCTCCGAGTCCAGCTCCAGCTCCAGCTCCTTCACCTGTACGCAAATAACCAATGTTCACACTCATCCAGACAGTGTTCAGGCAGCTGGGCCACAGTGGAAAAAGTATTCTGCAAATTCTTGGATTAAAAGAAGTGACCAAATCTGGCAGCACTACCGTACTAAGTAAATAGAATTGACTTATTCTTTTCACGTCTGTTTGTCAGAACGAACAACACAACTCATTGGGCTTCATCCGCGGTTTTCTAGAAATGCTGGTAAAGCAGGACTGCACTGCATCAAGGCTGGATTACTAACTGGGCAACCAGCTCAGAGTTCAGACCGTCAGGGGCACAGAAAGCCCCAGGTTTAAGCTCTTTTCAGACATGGAATACAAAACCTTGCTGGCTTCATCAGTCTGGTCAAGTTATGTTATTCTGTCATTCAGACACAGAACATTGTTTTCTTCACGGCTTCATTCAGACACCACAGTGCCATGGTGTTCACACGATATTTGCCATCGACATGAGATCAGACGGAGCATTAAGAAATGTATAATACATAATAATGCACAAATAAACAAAATACTAAATCTCAACTGATAGCAGCTAATCAAACAGTCAGTTGGACCAATACACTGTGACAACAATTCATTACTTGTGAGTCTCATTTATCTGACCGGTTACAGACATTTTCATTTGTAATAAAGGTGAAATTGTAGAGCAAAGTCACAGAGAAAGGTGTGTTTGGATTGATATCTGTGCTGAAAAGTGAAAAAAGTCTACCCCAAACTGTGTCACACAACTCAAAGTATGTCACTGGTGCTTATCTTTGATGTAACTACGTCTAGTTCAGACTGTGTTGGCTCTGTGAAGTGTTACCAGGTCTGATCTGGTAACACTGCTGTTGTTACTTTAACAGAAAAGTGAGCAAAATACTCATTCAGACGTGATGCTGACACACTGAGATACCGTCTTACTGTAAAGCACTACATGCTAAGTGCTATGATAAAGGCCTTAAAGACAGTGGAATGAAAACTCTTATGTGGTTGTGTCTGTTTTTCTGATATTTTTATGCTTGAACTTGTTGACGTGAGAAGCGTTGCTCCACTTCTCATATCAAACTGTACTTGAAAGTCCCCTCATGGGTCGGGGGCAGATATCGTGTATCATCCACAGAATGTGTGTGTCTCAACAGTTGTGGATTAGCTGAGCCACGCAACCAGTTTGTGTTCCAGCAACGTAAGTGACACACCACAAACCAGCAGCTCTCCTCACAATCACTGCATGTAAAAGGCAGAAATACAGAGTATACAGTGTAAAAATACTCTTATGGATTCCTTTATGAGCATAGGGTGCAAGTAAAATGTGAGACGCAGGACTAAAAAAAGGCAGCTGGGATGCCTCCTGTGTGGACATTCTGCGAGTCTCATAGCTGGGATACTGGTGTCCATGTAAAACACACTCACCAGAATAACTGCTGAGATGTTGGAATGCAGTGACATGGCTAAAAACAGACCCAGTGTGGCAAGAAACATGAGGAGAGGCAACAATAAAGGCTACACTGCTGCTGCAACGACAAAACAACTGTGTTTCTTCTTTCTAGATTTTGCTATTTTTTTCATTTTTTAATAGAAGTGTTTACCTACTGGCGGCGTTGGACAAAAGGTCATTGGGGAAAATCATCACATACTCAAGTGTGGATCATGAACGTTTATCCATCCATTTTCTATACACCGCTTAATCCTCACTAGGGGGGCTGGAGCCTATCCCAGCTGACTAACTCGCTCCGTCTCCATACCTTCCCCTCCAGCTTTTGGATGATCTTCTTCCCTCCTTTCAGAGCCATCTGCTCGGCCTCGTCCAGTCTGCCGCTCATGTCTTTGATCTGGGCCTCCAGACCTTTCTTCACTCTCTCCAGGTGGAGTGTGTGCTCCTGCTCCAGACGCAGCTCCTCCCCGACTCGCGCCAGCTGAGAGAACAGACCACAACATCCATTTCAAACATTATTTCAAGTGTCTGAAAATGTTTCAAACTGCGCTGCAACTGGGTTTCATCGAGTGTTTTACCTCACAGCTGGCCTTCTTGGCCTTGTCTGTGCATCCTCTCAGCTCTGCCTGGAGCTCCTCATGCTCCTGCTGCAAAGTCTGAAGATCCACCTCCAGCTTTCTCCTTCCGCTCAGAGCCAACTGGAACTGAACACACAGTAGAAAACATCAGGGAGGTCTGTGAGTTTATGGGTCAAATTAGAATCAGTGAGAATGAAGCAGAGGCCCTGTGTGTCACCTGGTTGTTGAGGTCGCTGTACTTCTCGCTGGCCTCCAGCAGCTCTGTCTCCGAGGACTTCCGGGCTCTCTCTGCGTTCTCCAGCGCTGCCCGGGTCTCCTCGCTCTCGCTGATCAGCAGAGCGCAGCGTCGCTCCAGGGCAGCCTGCTCCTCCCTGCGCTCCTCGTGGCCCCTCACCTCCTCCTCCAGCTGGGCCTGCAGCTCCTGGGGCAGCAGAGGACACTTGTTCTTTCAGCACTGTTACACATCACCACTGTAGAAAACACACGTGGTATCTGAGCAGACCTTAATCTGCTGCTGCATCTTCTTGCTGTTTTTGCTGAGCTCTGCGTTGTTCTTGGTGAGCAGGTCCACCTGCAGCTCCAGCTCATTGATGTCGGTTTCCAGTTTCTTCTTTAACTTCAGTCCCTCTGCTCTGCCTTTCACCTCCACATCCAGACTGGCCTGCAGAGACTCTAGCGCCCTCTGGTGGCTTTTCCTGAAACGAGGCATGAGACAGACGGAAAGGCAGTCGAATGAAGCGAGAATACTTTTCTCTGCAGAGGCAGTAAATCAGAGTTAGAAGAGATGAACAGTTCCAGTCTTACCTCTAAAGATTATGTACAGTGAGTTTGTTGAAGAAGTAAAGGGAGATAAAAGACAGCATGGAAAACAGTTAGAGTATTAGTGCTGTGGGTAGCAGTAATGGAAATGATGTGAAAAAAACAACGGCAGATCACGAGGAGCATCACAACAACATCATTAGGGAGAACTATCTGACATGTTGGGAAATTACCTAATTTGCTTTTGAGATAACAGTGAAACAAGAAGATCTTGCATCTGTCTGCTAACTGTAAGTTTATTATAGTGCATTGCATCTTCTTTGTTTAATCTGTACAGAGTCATTTATGTCTAAGTGTTGCTGTCGCAGTCAAGTTTCCAGGCAATGAGCAGTGATTCCAGAAAACTCAAGAAATAGGCCCACACTCAACCTCCATCAGACCGCATCTTGTTATTTTTACACTTCAGTGATAGGACAAATGAAACAAACATAGCACAACATGCTACTTGATGAAATTTAGAGCTGACAGGAGGAAGATTTTGGCATCAGGCTCAGAGCTGCCAACTCAGAAGCAAGTTTTAACGAGATCTATAGATTTTTGGGAAATTTTTATACAATTTATATATATATATGTACAGCGCCCTCCATAATTATTGGCACCCCTGATTGAGATGTGTTAAAAGCCTTAAAATAAATTCAATTTTTATTATAATTGTGGCACACATGATTTGATGCAAAAGAATTATTTTTTAATGTGGGATTTTTTTTTTAACCCTGAATAAATGCACTTGAATTAAAGGTTGAATTTTCCTCTTTTTTCATTGTGGTCCTATATTATTTAGAAAAAAAAAGAATTTACTAGAAGCTAAAGAACACATCTTATCCAGGGTGCCAATAATTATGGAGGGCGCTGTATATACATATATTAAAAATGTAGTCAAACTGACATTTTAGGCCAGACTTTAACTTTCCTTGAAAAGTTTTCAATGTTTCTTAAGGAGAAGCTCTCATGTGTCTCAGGTATTAATACTTTCAGTCGACGGCAGCAGGACAGAAGCACAAATGACCTGATAATGTGCCAAAATGGCCAATCACTGATCCATACTGATGTGATGATAGCAGCTTAAAATGTATAACATCTAATGCTTAAGAAAAGTAGAGTTGGTTTTGTATGTTTGTGCAAATCAGCAAATTATGCTTTCCAAGGACTTTTATGTGCAAACCTAAGGTACTTTCTATTTTAAATTGTTGGCTAAACTGTACAAACTTCCTGGTCTCCCCTATCATTACACTGCAGTGTCATGCATCCTAGAGGAGGAAGGTGATGAGAAAGATGGAGGATGAGAGGCAGCTGAGGTACCTGGCAGCTTCACTCTCCTCCTCCTTCTCCTGCAGTCGGCGCTCCAGGTCTCCTTTAGCCTGAGACAACTCGAGCTGCAACCTCAGCACCTTGGTCTCTTCAGCCTGCCCAAACACATCGAAGGAGAAATTAAGACAAGAAGAAGATGAAAAAAAAACAAGAAAAATTCTGAAGTGAGTCAAACTTCCTGCCCCCACAATGCACATACTGAATACACAATAAAGGACAAACATTACAGGCATGTTGGTAAAGCACAGACCTCCAAAGCTGCCTCAGATTCCTCCAGTGAGGCCTGTAGCTCTTCTTTCTCCATCTCAATCTTCTTTTTTGCTTTCTGCAGCTCGTGGACACTCTTACCTCCATCTGACAGCTGGTCTGTTAGGTCAGCTATCTCCTCTTTGGGACAAAGAAAAGCCATGCATGAGACTAACTATAGTGTTAAAGGTGCTATACAAATTAAGTTATTATTATAACTGCATCACGGTTACTGTTAGTTACTACGCCATCATGACCAAAAGTCTTTCTTGAAGAAACACTTTTTAAACACATTTTAACATTTTAAAAGCTTTTTTTTTTTTTCAAAAATAGGAGATACAAAGATTGACACTGCTCTCATGCCTGTATGTTAAGTTAAAGCCAACAGTCCAGTTGCTGTTTCCTAATATTGGTCTTTATGCTAAGCTAGGCTACTAAGCTAGGCTACTAGCTTAGCATAAAGACCAATATTAGGAAACAGCAACCCTCTCCAAAGACAAGAAATGGACCAAAACTCCCTACTTAGCATGTTTCACTTGTACACAAATAAAACATTAATATTTTACTGAGCTATTTCTTGATAAGCTACACGTTGTCTGTGTGTCTAGTACTGGACACCAATCTCTTCTATGTTTGTTTTGGTTTATTATTTTTTTTACCTTATTATAAATTTTTTCATTTTTATTATTTTATTACATTATAAAGTTATTAATGCATGTTTTCTGTAAAATAGAAGTAAAAATAAAACTGGATACACAACACTGTGGCTAGTTAAGGCTAGCTAGTAAGATACCCTTAGCTAAGCTAATTCAACTAACCACCATTCCTATCTTGTAGCAGTAAATAAATAAATAAATAAATTTAAATAAAATAAATGAACAAACAAACCGCAAAATGTTTTCTAAATAAATGCAGGGAAGAAAACAAAGTACCTTATCTGGTCCTCCTTTTTCTAATCCAGCTAAATGCTAACTAGCCTCGCTGCTACAGTCGTAGTAACTGCCTCCTTTATAGCTTCTTTATCTAAGGTCTGTGACAATAACTACTGACCAGAATAAAATACATCAAATTAAGCTTCTTTTCAGCATGCGGTGTCTGTTAAACAGTCCACTTAGGAGTGTCCAGTCTTCAAACCCATTTTATCTTACTGACTCCAGTTCCGTGTTTAATGCACTTCAGCATTTCATCCCAAATGAAAAGCTATTTCCTAAAACCTGCAAGGATCATCAGCTGTGACCCTCCTGTGCGCTGTCATACCCTGGTAGGCCTTGTTCTCTCTACGTAGAGCCTCCAGCTGCTCCAGAGACTCTTCATGAGCCGTCTTGAGCTTGAACAGCTCGGCAGCATGTAGCCTGCTCTCCTTCTGGCAGCCCTCCACCTCGGTCACCAGCTCCTCACACTTCTGCTTCCAGTCCCCGAGCTGCTTCTCCAGCACCCTCTGCTTCTTATCCAGAGTCTGACCGCAGCCGCTGGCCTGAAGCAGGGAACAAACAGCGCTACAGTGACGACGTTTATGTCAGAGCAACGTGTTGAACAATGCATCTCCTTCTCTACCTTCTCCAGGTCCATGCAGAGGTCCTCCACCTCTCCCTGCAGTCTCTGTTTGGTTTTCTCCAGTGAGGAACATTTGGCCTGGGTGGCTTCCACGGCCTCCTCAGCCTCCTGAAGCCTGCTCGCCAGCTTCTTCCTGTGACACACACACACCATTACATACATCACAGAGTCTATTTAAGGCATTAAATCATGTCAGATTGGGTGAGCAGCTGCCAGAATCAACACCACACACTTGGTCTCCTCCAGCTCGTCTGCGTGCTGGATTGCGTCTGCCTCGTGTTTGGTCCTCCAGTGCGTCACCTCACTGTTGAGTTTGGAAACGAGGCGCTGCATCTCCTGCTTGCTCTCCTGCTCCTCCTCCAGCTGCTCCCTCAGCACCTCGCACTCCTGCCGCACTGAGCTCAGGCTGCTGCTGGCCGCCTGCTTACACTGGCAACGCGGCAGAGACATGAGCGAATGTGTTTAATCTGAGAAGGAAAACAGGCAAAAAAAAGGTGGGTATTTTCTGCTTCGTGTTTAAAACGCTGACCTTGACCTCCTCATCCAGCTGTTTCTTCAGCTCCTCCAGCTGGGACTGGAGCAGAGTCTTGGAGCGGGTCAGCTGGCTCGCTCTGCCCTCCGCCTCCTCCATCTGTCGACTCACGTCTGCATTATCGGCTGACGGGACAAACACGAGCGCTGATTAGTGACACGCTGCAGCATACAGCGGAAACAAAGCATCAAATATGTGAAAGACAAACACACAATGTGATTATCTGATTACAAGAGATTACAAGAGCTGATGTGGATTAGGTCATGTACAGAGATGTGCAGCGCAGGATAGCAAGGACATCTGAGGACACACTCCTCATGGAGCTAAATGGAGCGTCAAGGACTCATCCTCTAGTTAATTGTGTCATATCTGTGTGTTCTGTTGTTCCAGTAAAGAATAGTTCTACAAAGTGTCTCACCATTTAAAGCAAAGTATGTTATATTATTATGATTTCACATATCATGGGGAGTATTACAGAAACTAATGTCTTTTGTAGTGTCCAGTTACACCACTTGAGCATCTCAGCTTGGTCTTCTTAGAGACTATACGTTTTTGACAGAAATCCTGGGGGCAAGGACCACAGCATTGCTTAGAAAAGATGTGATCAATGTGCATTATAGGACATAGAGACTGCTTTTTGGAGCTCCCCCCTTACTCAGGATTAATTTAAGCATGGCTCTGCTGCATCTATTTCGACAGATATTATTTTTTATTCTGTTTTTTGTGCAGACGAGCCATATGCACAGTTGATCTTATCGTAATAACACAGCAGAGTCCAACAGAGTCCTCTTAAATCAACTTCTCTTTAGATGTTTTAGACCAACTGAAGAGCTAAGAGAAGCAGTCGACTCAACTGGGAAAGCAAACCAGTTGAGTTGTTGGTTGGGAGGTAGGTTGGTTGGTCAGCTGGTAGATCAATCAGTAGGTTAGTATGTACAGCATGTACATCAGTAGGGTAGGTTAGGAGATCAGTAGGTAGGTATTTTGGTCAGTGTGTTCGTATGTGGGTATGTAGGTCAGTCAATTGTTGAGGTTAGTATGTGTGGGGGTTGGTGCCAAAGTGGACCAAGCTGCATTTACCCGTTACAAAGAAAAATGGGGTCAAAATGTTTTTTTGTTGCTAAAAAAAAAATCGTGGTTGTCGTAGGAGTCATTAAATTCATCCAAAGATGTTTCAACACTGTCCAGAGACAAAAACAGCTACTTTGTGATGACTTATTTAAGTTTTCATTTTGCCTTTCCTTTTGCTGAGTGCCAAAACGGGCCCCTGTCACATTCTTTACGTTTTGAGAAAAAAACTGATACAAGGTTTGTCTTGCTAAACTGCATTGAAGCGTTTACATGAGTCATCATCAGGAACTAGAGATACTTTTTAGGGACCATGGGATAGAAACAGATGCTTGGTGGTGGTTAATTAAGTTTGTATTTTACCTTTGTACCTTAGAGTTGAGTTTTAACAGGGCTTGAGGTCACGCTAGCCACCATCTTGAATCGCAAACACGTACAACTACCTGCGCCTGTGATGTAATGGTTAGCAATTCCTGTGGCTTGGCCCAGTTTACCACGAAATTTTCATGCCAAAACTGTTATGGGCCAAACTTCAAAGTGTCATTTTGACATTACTAGTGGGCTGTTGGTTGGAACACTTTGCCACGAACTAGTAGACCATAAATACTTCTCAAAAAACATAAAACTCAACGTCTTTGTGGTGGCTTTGTGTGTGTGGCTTTGACACTGAACTCCTCATGTTGACCAGTTACTATGGCAGTCAGCAGGTCAGTTGGTTGGTTGATGAACAAACTGAGGATGCTATCACTCAGCAGGATTTTAGCTAATTACAAGTATGACACCAGTGTACCTGTGAGTCTGTTCTTGGCCACACTGAGCTCAGTGAGGGTCCTCTGCAGCTCATCTCCTCTCCTGTTGGCCTCAAACAGCTGCTCATCCAGCTTCTTCAGCTGGCTGTCTGAGGACGTCTGCAGCACAACACAGACACCGCCACATGTTATGCCACACTTACAAGGTTGTAACTTAGGCCTGTGACTTTATTGGCTTGTTAAACGAACAAACACCCCATTAAACCAGTAGCAAACCACAGTTCATATGACCTAACTTCCTGACCTTGGCTTTCTGTAGAGTATCCAGTGAAGCGGCCAGCTCATCCACCTCCATTCTCAGATTCTGCTTCTCCTTCTCCAGTTTGGCTCTGGTCCTTTGCAGAGCCTCACACTGCTCGCTCAGCTCTGCCACAACATCGCTGTGCCGCTTCCTCAGAGATAAAGCAAACGCTTCAGACTGGACGGAGGACTCCTCCAGGTCTCGTCTCAGGCGCTGGAGCTCGGCCTCTCGCTTCTTGTTCACTTCCATCTGTTCACCACACACATAAGCTGCATGTGAAGTTTGGTAACGCTCATTTTCATTCAGGATTTTCCAGGTAATGTCCTGGAAAACATCCTCATTACATCCTAAAGGTTAACTAGTATTTATTTGTAGATTACACTGATATAGTTTTTTTTTTTTAAGTCCAATGAAAGTTGCTCCTAATCATCAATTTTAAGGGCTTATGTCATGTGTTCTACTGGTAGGATGTAAAAATCCGAATGTGCAACCTGACAATAACATGCAGAGTGCTGAGTTAACCTGTGAGGCCGTGACCCCTCCTGCTTCCTCAAGCCGGTCCGTGAGATCATCCAGTTCTCTGGTGAGATCTGCTCTCTGCTTCTCCACCTGTCAAAAATACAGCAATTTACGAATGACACTGGACATTAAGTGCACAATGTGATACTAATCAATCAAATGTTCAATCATGAATCAATGTAACGCCATAACAAACCGAAAGTTTGACAGATATGGCAAAGTGACTTAAGACTAGAGGAGAAGATTTCAGCTGTTCTGGTCCTAAAACTGTCACATCTGATGGGACAGGATGTTTAACCACCAGTGGACCTGATGATTGACAGCCCAGAAAAGGAAGTGATCTCTCCAAAGGTCAGAGGTTAGCAGGGTAGCTGGTATCCAATCAGAAAAATGCAGGGGTTAGCTGCTGTCACACAGTCCAAATATTATCTGTGAACTCCTCTTTCCTGTGGATGTTATCCAATGCTGATCACTGCAGGCTGTGTTGCTCGTAGCTCTGCTGTTTGGGGTGATTTTCATACATAGTGTATTACTCAGAGGATGCAGCATGCTAACTCATGTACGAAGCAATGTTGGTCTTTAAAGCTGATGATGGCCTTTAAAGCTGCAATTAATTTTTTTCTTCACTTGGGGGCAGCTCAGACCAAAAACAAGCGGGTGTGCCGGCCACACCTCCCCCATCCCTTCACGTTCCATTTACAGCCAGAAATGTTGTGTCCGTCAGAGCCAACAAAAAATGTACCGCCCACAACCATTAGCCCATGCTAGCATTGTAAAATATATCCAATGGTCCTAACGAGATGTTAACTTCTTTAACATTATCTTCACTTGACCTATCTCTCAATAGCTGCTCTGCTCCACCTGTGTGGAGAACACAAAGACACATGGAGGAGTCCAGTGTGTGGAAACAGATACTAACAGAGTGGAGTAGAACAGCTAGAGGCTTACTGTGTTTGCTGTCTGGTGCTGAGGGATGCTGAGGGATGTGCCAGTGGGTTAGTCTGAGGCAAGTTATTTATTTGGCTGAAAACAGCTTTCTGGTTTCTGGAGATATCATGGATGAGAGCACTGTGACTGAACCAAACATTCAATTTGCAGGGAATAAAACCAAAACAATGTGCTAAAGGACGTCAAAAGAATCCATCGAGTTGAGAGCAACTGCATTGAGGGATCTTTTTTGGTTCATCACTACAAGTGGCATCTTTCACTTCACAGATGGTAATTTGATAAATTGTTAATACAAAAAAATGTCATCTGGTGCAGCTGGTACTAACTAATAACTAATCAGAGGTTTGACTGCAATATAGCAAGATGATGAGATACACCACAACATTCTCTTGTAAATACACTTGCTTTTAAAAGCAGTAACAATAGCTGTAGTTACAATTAAAAGTACCTGGAAATGTACCTTCTGAAGTTGTATTTACTTTCCTGGATGTTAGCTAGAAACTTTGATCTTGACAGTAAATACACCCTAACAAAATCAAAAAGACCCCAAATGCATTCCTAAAATATCAACACCTTCAATAATAAACATCGTGGCTCCAGCACTATAATAAAACTTGATACCAGTATAATACACAGTATAATAAAACTGGACACCAACATCAAAGTCAGTGTAAAATTGTTCCATAAAAATACAAAACAAATAAAAAATATTTAAACCTTCTAAAATGTTGAGATACAGTATTAATGATAAATTCCTTGACAAGACTGTCAGAGAGAGCCTTCTCACGCTCAGATATGGTACAGCACACATGGAGAGAGTTTATAACGCCAGGCCATTACATGCACAAACAGCCAGCACTCTGTAGTTAAAAGCACTTGTTGTTTTTACGCAGATCTTTTACAGCTGGTTTAAAGACAGTCGTAGATGTTGAGACTGGCCTGCAAAAGCTGGAGTCTCAGGCCTCCCTGATAGCAGCAATGAGCCACAGCCGTCAACACACCTCAGGCAGAACAAGGGAAAACAGATGATTCTCACTGGGGGCCTCCTTGTCCACCCCCCACACCTCCAGCTAAACCTCCAAAACCTGTGGCCCCCCAGCCCCGCCCCGTGAGCCTTACAACCTGGCTCTGTGTACAAGGTTAACGCCGAGCACTCGGCTCACTCATCGCTCTCCTCCACACGGCTGACTGAGTCAACAGCTCCTCCGGATCGGTACCACCCGACACCACTCACTGCCATTCACATGCTAATGAAAGGTCAGCGCTCCCAAAGTGTCCTGCTGCTGAGGATGGGACATTCATCTTCTTTTGCACATCTCTGTGAAGACTGTGCATGCATGCCCATGAGTGTGTGCATAAGTACTTCATCCGTGTTCTCAGCCTCCAGAAACGAGTTGACATTAAACCTCAGGTTTCCTCACCTTGAACAAGTTAGGGTGAAGTGTTCTCCCCTAAAATGAAAGTGAAGGCGTGCATATTTTCTATTTTTCTATTTCCCATTTTTAGATTTCTGCACTAGCAAAATGTGTACAGAAAGAAAGTGCTACAGGAAAAGTTCATACTTTTTGAAGGTAATTTGAAGGTATAATACTTCCATATTAGAGAGGGAATAATTACAATTTGGTTTGTTTTTTATACTCTTCTGTGAATTTCAGGAAACAGGGGGCTCAAGTATTTACAAAACTGGTTCATACAAGTCGCACAAAAAGCCCAAACAGGTTGCATTTTAAAATGTAACTTCTCAGTAGAGAAAGCAAAACAAAGAAAATGTTATTCTCCTCCACTGCTACGGCAAATTTGTGGCCTTGGTTCAGTCTTGCTGCTCTCATCCGCTCTGGTTCCAGACTTTTTCCACACAGCTCTGATAAATTCACTGCACACTACTCACTCAGCAATCAGTGTTTGTGAATAGCTAGTGAATTTAATTTATGAATTTTGTATTTTTGTTTTTTTTCTTTCGAGCTAAAAGTAAAGCAAATATTGGACGTCAGCTTGGTGGTTTTTAGTAAAAGCTCTAGTTCCACTGCAAATGTAATCAGGCAAATTGTCAGTATAGACTATGTAAAGCCTTTAAACCAAGCACTGACCTTGCAGCAGACACGGAGCAACTTTAGTATTCTTTGAAATTGTGCTTCTCTTCACCTGTTCATTTGAAATTTTTTGTATTTTTTATTTTGATGTGTGTGTGTTGTCTACAGTGAACCCTCTACTGTACACGTAACTGTTTGTGTGGCTGGCATTCCAGATGGAAGAGGATCCCATAAAAAAAAAAACAGTGCTGTCTGTCAGCCTCTATCTCCTGATACTATCTCTCTTGTGCGACCTGAGGAGCAGAGTCTAACAATAGTGAGCCTGTCTGCAGCAGAGGTATGTTGTATTTGAGCTGTTCTGAAGATGCAGGCTTTGGAACAGATAAAGACCTACATGTCTCTGCCTGCCTCTTTCTCCGCTCTGTGGCTTTGGAGGCTAGAGGGGTCCCAGCTAGCCCCATTATCAATACCACCCAGAATGGGAAGAAGTGAGCAAAACACGCCCTCAGGCCTGCTGTCACTCTATTCAACGCTCCGAGTGAAATATGTGTCTCTGCGTTTCTCTACTGTAACATGAAAAATGCAGAGAGGTCTTAAGAGGCGCGACCAGGTTCCACAGCTTAAATACACACATGCTTTAAGAGCGTCTTATTTGAAACAACAAGCACTTAAAGCGCCCACCTTAGTAGATTAGCTTTATATGAACCAGACGTGCTGTTTTGAAACGATTTAACATTACAAAGAAGATGTCTTGGACACTTTGCTGTGGTTGAAAGGAAGGTGGAAAAAAAATGTCCTGTTCTTCTGATTTGCTTCTGGGAGCAAGGCGAGGGGATTACAAGAAACAGAAGGTGCACTCATGTGTGCGTAAGGGATAGAGAAAGATCGGGGAAAAAATAAGAAATAAGGAGGAAAAAGGATGTTGGGGCTCCCTCACCGCCTCTGGGGTTGCCCAGTATGTTAATCAGAAACACAAGGTCTCTCCCACCCTCGTTTATTATCACAGGTGCAGATGGTTTGGGGTGACCAGAGGCACAGCACCAATGCACGTACCCCACTGGCTGCCACCACCGACTCCTTCTCTTTCACTGTTGTCTTCAGCCCAAGAACTGCTCTCAATACCACAATCCTGAGTCGATCTGATCCCAGAGCTGCTTGGCATCATTTTATCTACCCTGCAGCCTGACAGACCGGTTTAAAGGTACAACATCTAAGACGAGTATTCAAAAAATAACTTAAACTAACTAAAGAGAGGGCAGAATATCGCTAGAAAGTTATGGTATTGGTCTACATCCCTATGCAAGGACATCAGGGAATACACAGTTCTTTCAAAAGGTCTTTGGTCCCTCTGCCTGTCAAAAAGCTGATACCCCTTTTCCACTGTGCTAGTTTGGAACCAGAGCCTGACTTAGCACCAGTTCTTTGTCTTTCCACCAAAGCACTGGCTCCAGCATCTCCAAACTGGTGCTTAGCAAGCGCCAACTCTTTGCTGGCCCAGAGCTAAGAACTGAGTACATCAGGGGCTGGGGGCAGGGTTATCGTGACCAACAAAACCGATGGAAACATAGAATCAGCATTTTTAAAACAACAGCTGAATGAGTAGCTACATTTTTAAAAAAAACTAAACAGGGTAATATGGACAGAAAATCCAAGCAGCAGTAGTCTAAGGAGACCCAGTGCTTGCTGGGACTGTGGTCTTCAACTGAAATCCAAAATAAGTTAGAGGGAGCCTCTTGGACCAAGCCTGTGTTGAAAAAATCCTGCAGGAGATGACTGCAGCCGGGTATGAGTGGAGCCTCGAGAACTCCTCAATTAACTCAATAAACTGAAAAAAGGCTACAGGGACCAGAAATGGCTTTGGCTATATACGCAGTGACGTACTGATGTTTTACAGCGACGCTCTAACTTGGCTCCTTGCCGATGGAAAAGCAAACAAGTTCTATGGAGGTGCGAGATTTCAAGCAACTAAGCACTGGAACTATCACCAGCAATGAACTAGCACCTGGTCCTTTTTGGTGGAAAACGGATATCAGGGTCAGTCAAGAAAACAGTTATCTTATAAACTCCATGTGTGGTGTCAGCTTCTAGTTTATGTTCTAGCTTTCCCAGCTCAATTTTTAGCAAAGACCATTGGAATATTTTTGGTACGGTTTGTATTGTCATTAGCTGGACTGAAAATCTGCTTTGTGTTGTCTAAACAAAGGGAGCAAGAAGGTCACCGGTTCGCGTCCCGGTCGGGGCACTGGCATCTTTCTGCGTGGAGTTTGCATGTTCTCCCTGTGCAGCGTGGGGTTCTCCGGCTTCCTCCCACAAGTCCAAAAACATGTTGAGGTTAATTGGTGATTCTAAATTGTCCGTAGGAATGTGAGCGTACTTGGTTGTCTGTCTATAAGTGTACGAAGGTTTGTGACCTGTCCAGGGTGTCCCCTGCCTTTGCCCTAAGTTGGGATAGGCTCCAGCCCCCCTGTGACCCTAGTGAGGATTAAGTGGTGTATAGATAATGGATGGATGGATGGATTGCCTAAACAAGGTAAGTACCATGGACTGTAAATGAAAGATGCAATTAAGGACAGTGATGTCGCCCACGGTTTACAGACTACCATATAAAGTCTCAAGTTTGACATTTGACTGTTACCATCTTGCTTTTTTGAAATCACATTTTTGCAACCAGAGGAGTCTCCCCCTACTGGCTGTGAGTAAGAATGCAGATATTTCTGCATTGGCTTTAATTGTCAGACCTGGAAACTACATACTTCTTTTATATTCAGCATGATGGCCTTATTTGTTACATAAAATTGCCTCTGTTCAGTAGACAGCTAGAGAAAGAGCTCACTGAGCTGAGCAGATACCGCTTCCTTTATTCCAACTGAAAACACATTAACACTGTCAGTAAATGTTATGCAATTAGCCACCTCTATCAGCTATTGCTACACAGCCAACTAGCTACCAGTCCATGGGAAGCAACGCTAAAGGTTAGCTCTTATCTTGCTTTAATTTCTTTGAATCAACATGGCAGTTCTTCTCCATGTTGGATTGAAGGCAATCTGGATGCTACAGTGACTCACGATTGTCTCTTGAGGTACAAAGTGGTATTACATGATGAGATTGGTCAGGGTTAGTTGGTTAGCATACTAACTTTGGTAGATAACTCACGTTACATCTTCAGCAAAATGTATGTCCTCACATTCTGTTGTTGTTCATTTTTAATGTTTTAAAAAAAAACAAAAAAAAAACTTAAATATAGTACTTCTTAGGCTCATCTGCTCTTTTTTATATGTTTGTGGAGATGCTCCACAGCACGTCACAGTTGTGATGATATACGTTACCTTGGTTCTCATGGCCCGCTCTGCCTCCAGCTCCTCTTCCAGCTCCTCAATGCGGGCCTGAGGAGAGATGGTAAAATGGATGTGAACACACACAGGGAAAAAAAAAACAATACAATCTGCTTTTCACTAAGCTATAAAATATGACCAAGATATTATCCTGTGCTTTCACATTGCCTATATCATTCTGACAGAGAACAAATGGGGCGTCACCTCCGCAGACAGTTTGCTATTTTAGGGCAGCCCTTGTGTGTGGTGAGGCCGTCTCATACACTCCACTTTCTCTGGGGATTTGGCACGCCTCTGGCTTTTTTCCTCAGGTAGCAATTTAGAGCAAGAATGTCCCGTAGCCACCGTCATTATCTGTATTCTGACCCAGGGCTGGGTGTGCTATGTCCGGTCAGCGAGACCAGAAAGCATTGGTGCCATTTTCATGACATTCGAGGAATTTGTGCAGGGTTTTTTTTTTTTCTTTCTCAGATTTTGCTGGAAATCAGTGATGTATCAAGGTCTGAATTTGTGAAGTACATGTAGTGGGAATGAACCATTTCATCTAATTGTGTACATCTAGATTACATATTTGGTAACCAGTGTTTTTCACATGGTGGAACAAAGACCTTTTTAACCTTCATGTTTAATGATTATCATCATACTTTCTGTGTGAAAACTTATTTTTTATCTAAACCAAAGAGTTAAAAATATTTTAAAATCCTTGCATATACATATAATGTTCAGTTTTATAGCACAACTTTTTAAAATTATTATTATTTGCAAAACAACAGCAGCATGTAATTATCTAAATTCACCTATTGTAGCTTCAAAGTTGCAGATAATACATATAACTTGCTACCGTCATTTATAAAACATGGTTATTGGCTTTGGTTTCTGAGCAATTCTTTCAACATGTAAAGTAACTGTACACTGGCGTCTACACAGCACAGAAAAGGTTAAAGTTAGTGACGTCATTTCCCTGATATTTCCTCAGCAGACCCCCTCCCATTCTCAAGCCATAAATAAAACTATAAATTACATGAAAAAAAAAACTTCTTACACACATGTATACCTTACTTGCATGTGTGTAAAAGTGTGTTTGAAGTACTGAGGTCATATCATTATGTATGAAAATGTGATAGTAACTGTACAATAAACTTTTATTTAATTGCTTCTGCATTGCCTAAAAATGATAAATAGGAGGGTTAAATGAACTGGTAGCAACATTTCTGCAGACCAAAACAAATATATAACAGTAATGAAAAAGATATTTAACGAAAATGCACTGCTTCAAGTGACAATTCTTAAAACTGCTGCTTACAATCAGAGGCAGACAATAGACATGTTTACTCTGTTTCATTTTCATGGGACTTACATCTTCATGTGAGGCAGAAAATCACATGTATGTGGATATAAAATGTATGTAAATAACACAGGGTATAATATTTTAAATGTATTCACCAGTAGAGGCAATCTAATTGGGTATCAGCATAATAAACATACATTTGGCCCAAAAAATATGATGCACTTTAGTATTTATGCACATACATTTGTGAGCAGCTCATATAACTCCACATAGGCTTATTATTATAACTATTACATGCTACTTATAAATTACTGCATGTAATTTTATAACATATTATAAAATGACTGGAGTAATAAAAAAATACTTTGGATACTGCTTCAAGTACATTGTGATACTTCATACCATTATTTAAATTACATTTTCAATGCCCTTAAAATAAAGCACCATCAGGTAAATCATCCAGCTTCATCCACTATTGCTTTCAGTACAACCACCGTGTGTGCATCTGCAGAGTGCCTAAGTGCTCCTAATCATTTTATTTTTACGGAATTCGACTCATATTGTCAAAACAATGTGAGCGATCTGGCAGAAATAAATCATACACAGAAATGTTCTGCTCCACTAAGCTCTTGACAAAAGCCGCATTTTGTACCGCTAATAAAAATTTATTGCTCGCTTCCCGGTGTAGCTGCATCCTACCAAGTTGTGTCATGTTCCGCGCTATCTCCAGTTTCTATCTACGTCTCAGTGTCAGGAAGTGTGTCTGACATGGCGTGTGGCCCAGGGCCACTCGCAACAACAACACCTCCACCTCACTGATGCAGTCAAAGCCGCCAGCAGAGCTACACACCACCCGAAGCTCCCTAAACAGGACTATCAAACGTCTCGGAGCAAAATAAACACACATGGATGGGAGAATGTGTCTTGCACTTGTACCATCTTTGATTCATTAAAAATGCAAGCAGAGTTTTCTTTTGAAATTTCTAAAAAAAAATTAAAAAAAAAAAGAATCCATAGACACACTGACTTGTTCTACATATATCTATATTTTTAAAGTTGAGCTTAAACAGAAAGACAGAACTAAAAACTCACATGCCAGCGGAGGACGTCTGCAGAGAGAACAGCCATGGTGAGGCAGCAGCAGCCCGACTGACTGAATGACTGACTGACTGTCCCACACACACACACACACACACACTGAAACACACACACAGCTTTACTGTTGATCCCCTCCGGCATTTTACTGTCCACACCCCCTCATGCATGCACAGCCTCTCTTTCTCTCTGACAGTTCCTCACTCACATATCTGTTTCTTGTTAAATTCCTACTTTCCACAGCCTCAAACCAGCCTCAAAGTAAATATTGTGGCTCTAATACAATTGTAGAAAACTTATAGCGTACTAACAGTGTTAAGAAGTTGGAGTCAGACGGCACAGATAAATGCAATTTGGACTACTTATCCATGGCAGAAAAAGATTATATGTTGATTTTGTGCACTTTTCTAAATGAAATTTACTCGAATTTAAATGATCCCACACCGACTTCTCCACTTAGGAGCACTCTTGGGGCAATGTGGGGGAAATAACAGAATTAGGCCATCATTGCTGAGAATGCTTGCAGGGTTTGATCTCCATAATTGCATGTGCTTAAAGTTTCTTTTTTCCCTGTGCACTCTGAAACCATAATAATTGTCCATGAATTGCAATCAGATGTGGCCTCATAGCTGATGTTCCTCGTTTGTGTCAGAGGGGATGTTCAGCAGCGTGGGCAGTCATATCCTGTACATCCCCACAGCCAAACAACTGGAGGGCTTGCCTCTGCACTAGAGACAGTATATCAGACCCCCTGCTGATGCCAGTCCACCATACTGTCCACACATGCTCACATAATTCAGGTCCTTGCAACGGCGCAGGAATCTGCATGCTTTGTTCTTCTAAATACCTTCAGATGGCAACATCGTGAGTTCAGAAAACAAACAAAGAAACACCACTTCATTCCTGTACACTATCTGGAAATGATACAATACCAATCGATGTGATGCAGTACTATCATACAATTACCATACGATACGATATGATACGATACGTTACGATACGATACGTTACTATACGTCACAATACGATACGATACGATATAATAAAATCTGTTAAGATACATTGTGAAATAATTATGTCACGTTACAAATGATAGACTACAATACGATACCATAGATTACGATATGTTAGGAATGTTACGGTATGATCCGATTTGCTACGACACGTTTTGTTATGTTACATTACAATACGTTATGGTACATTACGTTGCAGTATGGTGCGTTACAATATGATGTAATGGTACAGTACGTTATAATAAATTACGATCCGATCCATTAGGATATGTTAAAATATGTTACATTATGTTACAAATGATATGTTGCAATACAATACAATACATTATGACACATTACAGTACCATAAGATATGATATATTACGATATGTTGTGGTACAGAATGTTACAGTATGATACAATTTGTTATGATACATTATGTTACTTTACATTATGATGTGTTACGTTATGATACATTACATTGTGATACGTTGTGTTATGATATGTTATGATACATTACGATATGTTACAATATGTTGTGACGTGATGTGATACAATACATTATGATACATTCTGATATGTTACGATATGATCTGATAAGACACGACACGATACAATCTAACCATTCAAACGGTAATAGCTATCATACACATCACACATGTTGAATATCAGCAGCACTCTGATCGTAGGAAAGTAAATAAACTGATGTATGACAGAATTCATCAGTCTGATGCATTTAAATCCAGTGACTAAACTAACTATCAGAGAACAAAATTAGCCTTTTATAACATGTGAGCAGTCAGAGGACATACTTTTAGCAAGTCTGAGTGTGTTATGTTTGTGAGCTGCTTGACAGGAAAATGCCACAGATTGGCCAATGAAAGGCACATAAAATCAGATTTGATTGTTTAGTTTAGTTTTAAATTGCACAGATTGTCTGGTGAACAGATGAGGCTGTACTGCATAACAGTGTGACAAACAACAAAAAAATAATCTGGCTGCTGGCTCCAAAGGTTCTGAGTAGACAATGATATAACTGTATCTTCTTACAAATAAGTGTATATAAAGTGGTGTCTAACACCCGATCATTTGTGTGACGACACAAAACACAGCACAACACACTGAGTTTTAAAGAAAGAATTTCAAATTTTGGTAAATGACCTACACAAGAACCTCAAACCTGCTAACCCAGCAAATTCTTTTATGTTGCTTTGGAAAACTCACTTTCGTTGTAAGGTTTTTTCTAAAATCTTTGATTTAATCTTGACTGTTTCAATGATGTGTGTAATCTGAGAGAATGTATATGTGTGTGTGTGTGTGTGTGTGGTTTTTTTTTCTATTTTTCATGTTTTGTAAAGCATTTTGTAAGTAGTAAGTTTGATGAATAAACTGTGTTATTAGAAGTCATACAGAAGATTGTATCATATAATTATGTATGATTATTACGAATCTCTGAATTCCAAGAGCTGTAGCTCATAATTATGAGTTTTCAATGGGCTTTAGGGGCAGGAACTGCTAAAAACGTGCCTGACAATCATCAGGTTTTTAAAATCATAGTAATTCTTGTGAGTACATCAGTTTCACTTCCTGCAGAAATGATCTTAGAGAAAGAGAACAAAATTGCTTGTTGACAAACTTTCTATCTTGTGCATAAGTAAAGAACATATGAGCTGAAC